TGCTGTTTAACATCTACATGAAGCCGCTGGGGGAGATCATCCGGAGTTTCGGGGTACGGTGTCATCTGTACGCGGATGATGTCCAACTCTGTCACTCCTTTCCACCTGCTACTAAGGAGGCTGTCCAGGTCCTGAACCGGTGCCTGGCCGCTGTGACGGTCTGGATGAGGGCGAACAAATTGAAATTGAATCCAGACAAGACAGAGGTACTCCTGGTCAGTCACAAGGCCGAACAGGGCATAGGGTTACAGCCTGTGTTGGATGGGGCCGCACTCCCCCTGAAGACGCAGGTTCGCAGCTTGACTCATCGCTGAGCCTGGAACCCCAGGTTTCGGCGGTGACCAGGGGAGCATTTGCACAGCTAAAGCTTGTGCGCCAGCTGCGCCCGTACCTTGGGAAGTCTGACTTGGCCACGGTAGTCCACGCTCTGGTTACATCCCGTTTACTACTGCAACGCTCTCTACGTGGGGTTGCCTTTGAAGACAGCTCGGAAGCTCCAACTAGTCCAACGCTCGGCAGCCATGATTTTAACAGGAGCGGAGCGCAGGGAGCATACAACCCCCCTGTTGCGCCAACTCCACTGGCTACCGATCTGCTACCGGGCTGAATTCAAAGTGCTGGCGTTGGCCTTTAAAGCCCTAAACGGTTCCGGCCCAAGCTACCTATCTGACCGCATCTCTGCCTATGAACCCACCAGGAGTTTGAGATCTTCCGGGGAGACCCTGCTCTTGATCCCGCCTGCTTCTCAAGCTCGGCTGGCGGGGACGAGAGATAGGGCCTTCTCGGTGGTGGCTCCTCGGCTGTGGAACGCCCTTCCTACGGACATTAGACTAGCACCATCTCTAATGGGATTCCGCAAAAAGGTGAAGACCTGGATGTTTGTGCAGGCGTTTGAGTAATTTAGTGCAATCTGGTAATGGAACATAGGAATGGAACAAGGGACGACGAATCTGGACTACGCTTGGATGATGAGAAGATTGGGTACGGTTGTTTTTTGTAATAATTGTGCATTGTAACTGCTTATTGGTAATTTATGGATAATGTGTTAAGTCAATTGTTATATGTTGTATGGAACCACTGCTGTTTCTACTGTTTTTACTGTTTGTGAACCGCCGTGAGTCACCTTCGGGCTTGAGATACAGCGGTATATAAGCAAAGTAAATAAATAAATGAAAGGAGGAGGATGAATGGGATTGTGATGGTGTCGGACGATTTGGCTCTTTTAACTGGGATGATAATGTTTTAATGTGTATGGTGCTGATATTTTAATCGTGTAATGAAGTGGCATTGTGTTGTTATTGTATATTTTTTGTATGTTAACACATGTTGTGAACCGGTCCGAATCCCTCTTTGAAGGTGAGAGGGTCGGTATATAAAACCTCAAAATAAATAATATATAATAAAAGAGAATGTTTGTATCGGACAGAGGAAGGAGTATGTGGCAGCGTTCTGATTGGCTGCCGCTGCGGTGCTATTTGCATATGGTCTCTGATTGGCCACCTTCAATAGGAGCCCCTGGTGGAGAAGAGGGCTCATGGCAGAAACGGGGCATGACAGAAGGAAATTTGCATATGGTCTCTGATTGGCCAGCCTCAAATCCAACATTCCGAGATGAGAAAGAGAGGAAAGGAAAGGCCGGGGCCTGGGTCAGAACACTCCCAATACAGATCGAAATAGGCACACAGAGCCCCCATCACCCACTCTACATCCTACTGCAGTTTGGAGGACTATGAACCATGGATGATGGGACTTGCAGTACCACCACTCACATTCTGAGACCGCTGTTAACCTTATCCAATGACTGATCAGGACCAAACTTCGCACAGAGACCTCTCATGACCCACTTTACGTCCTGGTGTGGTTTGGCTGGGGATGGACCGTGGATTATGGGACTTGCAGTACCAATGCTCATTCTTCAGACCACTGCAACCCTCATCCAATTACCAAAAAATACCAAACTTGGCACACTGAGTCTCCATGACGCACTCTACATCCAGGTGCAGTTTGAAGGAGGATGCACCATGGACAATGGGACTTGCAATACCTGCACTCCCTTCCTAAGACCATTATAACTGCCAACAATGATGGATCAGGACCACAATTTACACAGAGAGTCCGCATAACTCACTTTATATCCTGGTGCGGTTTGGAAGAATTTGACAATGGATGATGGGACTTGCAGTCACTTCACTCACTTCCTGAGACCACTGAGACCCACGCCAATGACTCATCAAGACTAAACTGGCACATGGAGCTTCAATGACCCACTCTACATCCTGGAGCAGTTTGGAGGACGACAGACCATGGATGATGGGACTTCAAGTACCTCCACTACCCAAGACTGCTGCAAAACTCATCTAATGACCAATCAAGACCAAACTTGGCACACAGAGCCCCCATGACCCACTCTACATCCTGCTGTTTGAAGGATGGACGATGGGTGATGGGACTTGCAGTACGTTCACTCACTTCCTGAAACCATAGCGACACTCATTCAAAAACCAATAAAGACCAAACTTGGAACATAGAGCCCCCCATGGCCAACTCAACATTCTGGTGAGGTTTGGGGGAGTACAGACTATGGATGATGGGACTTCAAGTACCTCCACTCACTTCCCAAGACCTCTGCAACACTCATCTAATGACTGATCAAGTCCAAACTTGGCACACAAAACCCCCATGACCCACTCTCCATCCTGGAGCAGTTTGGAGGGGGATGGACCACAGATAATGGGACTCACAGTAACTTCACTAACTTCCTGAGACAACTGCGAGTCATATAAATAACTGATAAAGACCAACCTTGATACACAATTCCTTTCTCAAATAACCCGGGCAGCGCCGGGTCCCCAAGCTAGTAAATAATAAATAAGATGGTCAGTTGAAACATTCACACCTAGCTCCAGGTGTGGAGTGTGTCTGGTTTGCCCACCTTGGAACATGCAAGATATCATTGTCCTTCTTTAAGCGTCCCTTTCAAATCTATGATACTATATCTGTGTCTCTGTGTGTGAATCATATCTATCTATCTATATTTATGACTGGATGGCTCTCTGTCAGGAGGGCTCTGATTACATTTTCTTGCCCTGGTGAAGAGAGTGGACTGGATGGCCTTAAGTATTTTCTGATGTTTCATGGGGGTTCTGTGTGGGAAGTTTGCCCATTCTGTCGTTTGTGGGTTCAGAATGCTCTTTGATTGTAGGTGAACTATAAATCCCAGTAACTACAAATCCCAAATGTCAAGGTCTATTTCCTCCAAACTCCATCTGTGTTCATATTTGGGCATATGGAATATTCGTGCCAAGTTTGGTCCAGATCCATCATTGTTTGAGTCCACAGTGCTCTCTGGATGTGGGTGAACTACAACTCCCAAACTCAAGGTCAATGTCCACCAAACCTCCAGTTTTTTCTGTTGGTCATGGAAGTCCTGTATGCCATGTTTGGTTCAATTCCATCATTGGTGGAGTTCAGAATGCTCTTTGATTGTAGGTGAACTATAAATCCCAGTAACTACAAATCCCAAATGTCAAGGTCTATTTCCCTTAAACTCCATCTGTGTTCATATTTGGGCATATGGAATATTCGTGCCAAGTTTGGTCCAGATCCATCATTGTTTGAGTCCACAGTGCTCTCTGGATGTAGGTGAACTACAACTCCCAAACTGAAGGTCAATGCGCACCAAACCCTTCCAGTATGTTGTGTTGGTCATGGGAGTCCTGTGTGCCATGTTTGGTTCAATTCCATCATTGGTGGAGTTCAGAATGCTCTTTGATTGTAGGTGAACTATAAATCCCAGCAACTACAACTCCCAAATGTCAAGATTCTATTTTCCCCAAACTCCACCAGTGTTCACATTTGGGCATATTGAGTATTCGTGTAGAGTTTGGTCCAGACCCATCATTGTTTGAGTCCACAGTGATCTCTGGATGTAGGTGAACTACAACTCCCAAACTCAAGATCAATGCCCACCAAACCCTTCCAGTGTTTTCTGTTGGTCATGGAAGTCCTGTATACTGTGTTTGGATGAATTCCATCACTGGTGGAGTTCAGAATGCTCTTTGATTGTAGGTGAACTATAAATCCCAGCAACTACAACTCCCAAATGACAAAATCATAATTTTTAGATTATATTACCACATTATTAATATGTTATATAATATAATGTAGTTCCATACACTTTCCTCATGTTTCTATGATAAGACTCAATCAGGAAATGACACTGATGTGGAGGCCCCCTCGCGGCCTACTTCCCCCGCTGCAGCCGCGGCCTTTCCTAGTACCGCAGGCCGAGGGCGAGGCCTCAAGGATCGGCATGGCGGCGGCGGTGCGGGTGGTGCGCCTGGGCCGGGTCTCCTTAAAGGCTTCCCTGGAGGTTCAGGATTCCATGGTGAGGCTCCAACGAGAGGAAAGAAGCCCCGAAGGCCTGGCCGGGCGGCTCCTCGTCTGGGAGCCCGAGGCGCCGGTGTACACAGTGGGCCTGCGCGGCCTAGGAGTCGGCTCCGAAGCCCCGGCGTGGGAGTGGGAGCTAGGCCGGCTGAGGGCGCTGGGGGCCGGGCTGGTTCGCGTGCGGCGCGGGGGGCTGTGCACCTTCCACGGTCCCGGGCAGCTGGTGGCCTTCCCGGGGCTGGACCAGCGGAGGCTGCCCGGGAGGCCCCCGCTGCGCGCCTTCGTGGCCCAAGCGGGAGAGGCCGCCGCCCGTCTCTGCCGAGGAGAACCCTTCGGCCTCCGCCACGCCCGGCCCAGGCCGCCCCCGCACACCGGCGTCTGGCTCCAGGGAAGGAAGGACGCCGCCATCGGGGACGATGAGGAACGGGAAGGAGGGAAGGAAGGGAAGGAAGGAAGGAAGGGGAAGGGAAGGAAGTGTAAGAAGGAGGGGAAGGAGGAAGGGAAGGGAAGGAGGAAGGGGAAGGGGATAGGAAGGGGGCGAAGAGGGAAAGCGAGAAAGTGAGAAGGAGGGAAGGAGGAAGGGGAAGAAGGAAGGGAAGGGGAAGGAAGGGAGGGAAGGAGGGAAGGAAGGAAGAGGAAGGAAGGAAGGGGAAGAGGGAGGGAAGGAAGAAAGAGGGAGGAAGGAAGGGAAGGAGGGAAGAGGAAGGAGAAGGGGAAGGGGAAGGGAGAAGGAAGAAGGAGGGGAGAGGAAGGGAAGGGAAGGAGGGAAGGGGAAGGGGAGGAAGGGGGAGGGGGAAGGGAAGGAAGTGTAAGAAGGAAGGAAGGAAGGAAGGGAAGAAGGAAGGGAAGGGGAAGGGAAGGGAAAGGAGGAAGAAGGAAGGGAAGGAAGGAAGGAAGAAGGGAAGAAGAAGGAAAAGGGAAGAGGGAAGGGAAGGGAAGGAAGGAAGGGGAAGAAGGAGGAAGGGAAGAGGGAAGGGAAGGAGGGAGGAAGGGAAGGGAAGAAGGAAGGAAGGAAGAAAGGAAGGAAGGGGAAGAGGGAGGGAAAGGGAAGGAAGGGAGGAAGGAAGGAAGGAAGGAGAGAGAAGTTGGGAAGGTATATGAGAGAAGAAAGGTAGGAAAGAAGAAAGGAAGAAAGAGAGAGTAGGAGGATGGGAAAGAAGGGAAAAAGGAAGGAGGGAAGGGAGGGGAAGGAAGGAAGGAGAGGAAGGAAGGAAGGAAGGAAGGAAGGAAGAAGGAAAAAGGAAGAAGAAAGAAAGAAAGAAGAAAGAAAGAGAAGAAAGAAGGAAGAAAAGAAGGGAAGGAAGGAAAGAAAAAAAGAAAGGAAGAAAAAGAAAGAAGAGAGAGAGAGAAGGAAGAAGGGAAGAAGGAGGAAAGACAAAAAGAAGGAAGAAAAGAAGAAAGGATGAAGGGAGGGAGGAAGGAAAAAAGGAAGGAGAAGTTGGGAAAGTATATGAGGGAAGAAAGGAAAGAAAGAAGAAAGAGAGAGTAGGAGGATGGGAAAGAAGGGAGAAAGGAAGGAAGGAAGAAGAAAGGAGGAAGGGAAGGGTGGAAAGGAAGGAAGGAAGGAAGAGAAGGAAGGAAGGAAGGAAGGAGAAGGAATGAAAGGTAGAGAAGGAAGAAAGGGAAAGAGGAAGAAAGGGAGAGAGGAGGATGGGAAAGAAGGAAGAAGGGAGGGAAGGAAGGGGGAAGGAAGGAGATAGAGAAGGAAGGAGAAGTTGGGAAGGTAATAAGGAAGAAAGGTAGGAAAGAAAGAAGAGAGAGAGAGGGAGGGAGAAAGGGAGAAGGAAGGAAGGAAGTATGGAAGGAAAGAGAAAGAAAGGAAGGGAAGGAAAGGTGTATGAAGGAAGAAAGAAAGGAAGGTATGTGAGAAGAAAGGTAGGAATGAAAGAAGAAAGGGTAGGAGGATGGGAAAGAAGGGAGGGAGAAAGGAAGGAAGGAAGGAAAGAAAGAAAGAGGGAAGGGAAAGAAGGAAAAGAAGAAAGGGGAAGGAAAGGAAGGAAAGGAAGGAAGGGAAGGAAAAAGAGGAAGAGAAGGGGAGAAAGGAAGGAAAGGAAGGGAAGGGTAGAGGGAGGGAAGGAAGGAAGGAAAGAAAGAGAGAGAGAAAAGGAAGGAAGTAAGGAGTTCGTGTGGGTCAGTGCCAGCTGTGTAGGGTGGAAAAGAAGGAAAGGAAGGAAAGAAGGAAGCAGGAAATGGACAATATATAAGAAGGAAGGAAGAACAGAAGGGAAAGAAAAAGTATTGGTCAAGGGGGAAAAACGGGATAATAATAAACATTATTATTATTATTATTATTATTATTATTATTATTATTATTATTCCCAAGTGTCCTAAGCGCTTGGGAAGTGTTTGACTTGTGATTTTGTGATACGAAATCCAGCATATAGACTTCGTTTGCTGTGACACATGTACTTTTGTGTCAATAAATAATAATAATAATAATTTTCCTGGGGACGGTGATCTACGGTCTGTTTCCATTTCTGATGGAGGGCCTTCTTTTTATGCCCCCGCTCTAGGTGTGCACTGTGGGCATCACATCACCTCCCACGGCTTGGCTCTGAATTGCTGCACCGACTTGACGTGGTTCGACCACATCGTTCCCTGCGGCCTGGAAGGGACCGAGGTCACCTCCCTGAGCAAAGAGCTGCAGAGGCACGTCTCGGTGGAAGAAGCGCTCGAGCCCTTCCTGGCTGCCTTCCAAGAAGTCTTTCAGTGCACTTTAATCGAGGACGAGTCTCCCAAAACAAAAGAGAACGGCGGTTTCTAGCCCTCCCTGGGAGCACAACACACTTTCCCCTCCTTTAGAGACAGAAATAGGAAGCACACTGTGTATAATGAGGGTTATCTTCCAGTGTGTACACTACAAATATTGGCCTTCCCAATAAAGCGTGGGAATTGGGTCCATTGGGAGACGGCACCCAAGACCCCGTGACACAGAGTTTTCAGTGTCTCAAATAAAAAACTGCATTTTCCAGGAATCTGTGATCATTTAACCCAGGCTTTTATTATTATTATTATTATTAACTTTATTTGTACCCCGCTAGCATCTCCCGAGGGACTCGATGCGGCTCACACAGGCCGAAGCCTCAAAACACAATACAGTAAAAAACATAACACAACAATAGCAAAGCAAATCAAACAATAAGCAATAACGACACCAACAATACATCAAACATTATTAAAACTGGCTCGGCCGGCGCGATGGGTACAGGAAATTAAAAGTGCTGAGGTGGTGGGGCACGTGGAATTAAAAGTGCAGTGTGCAGTGGCAATTAATTATGCTAAGGTACTATCAGAACTCAGGTGGGGATTCCTAGTCTGAAAAGGCACAGCGGAACAACCAAGTTTTTAAATTCCTTCTGAAAGCAGCAAGAGAAGGGGCCTGTCGGAGATCTTTTGGGAGGGTGTTCCAAAGTCGGGGGGCCGCCACAGTCGGTGACGTCGTTAACAGGGTTGGAACCTCTCTTTCTTTCTGTTCAAGGACTTCAGGTGAATTCCTCTCAGTGTATGGTGTTTTCAAAACACTACTGTTCCTTTTGGTCTTTTTAAAAAGAACAACAACAATGCCCAAATACGAGGGGTATTTTTTAAGTAAGGTCCATTTGAACATTTGAGGGTTCTTGGAGAACGGGAGAAGTTCCAGCAGATTGGAGGAGGGCCAATGTGGTCCCAATCTTCAAGAAGGGAAAAAAGGGTGACCCAAACAACTACCGTCCGGTCAGCCTCACGTCGATACCGGGCAAGATTCTGGAAAAGATTGTTAAGGAAAGCGGTCTGCAAACACTTAGAAACAAATGCAGTCATCGCTAATAGTCAACATGGATTTATCAAAAACAAGTCATGCCAGACTAATCTGATCTCTTTCTTCGATAGAGCTACAAGCTGGGTAGATTCGGGGAATGCCGTGGATGTGGCGTACCTGGATTTCAGTAAGGCCTTCGACAAGGTCCCCCATGACCTTCTGGCAAGGAAACTAGTCCAATGTGGGCTAGGCAAAACTACGGTGAGGTGGATCTGTAATTGGTTAAATGGACGAACCCAGAGGGTGCTCAATGCTTCCTCTTCATCTTGGAAAGAAGTGACAAGTGGAGTGCCTCAGGGTTCCGTCCTGGGCCCGGTCCTGTTCAACATCTTTATTAATGACTTAGATGAAGGGCTAGAAGGCATGATCATCAAGTTTGCAGACGACACCAAATTGGGAGGGAGAGCCAATAGACTCCAGAGGACAGGAGCAGGATTCAAAACCATCTTGACAGATTAGAGAGATGATGGGCCAAAACTAACAAAATGAAGTTCAACAGTGACAAATGCAAGATACTCCACTTTGGCAGGAAAAACGAAATGCAAAGATACAGAATGTGCCTGGCTCGAGAGCAGTACGTGTGAAAAAGATCTTGGAGTCCTCGTGGACAACAAGTTAAACATGAGCCAACAATGTGAATTGGTGGCAAAAAAAGCCAATGGGATTTTGGCCTGCATCAATAGGAGCATAGTGTCTAGATCGAAGGAAGTAATGCTACCCCTCTATTCTGCTTTGTTAGACCACATCTGGAATATTGTGTCCAATTCTGGGCACCACAATTCAAGAGAGATATTGACAAGCTGGAATGTGTCCAGAGGAGGGCGACTAAAATGATCAAGGGTCTGGAGAACAAGCCCTATGAGGAGCGGCTTAGGGAACTGGCATGTTTAGCCTGAAGAAGAGAAGGCTGAGAGGAGATATGATAGCCATGTATAAATATGTGAGAGGAAGCCACAGGGAGGAGGGAGCAAGCTTGTTTTCTGCTTCCCTGGAGACTAGGAAATGGAACAATGGCTTCAAACTACAAGAAAGGAGATTCCATCTGAACATTAGGAAGAACTTCCTGACTGTGAGAGCCGTTCAGCAGTGGAACTCTCTGCCCCGGAGTGTGGTGGAGGCTCCTTCTTTGGAAGCTTTTAAACAGAGGCTGGATGGCCATCTGTCAGGGGTGATTTGAATGCAATATTCCTGCGTCTTGGCAGAATGGGGTTGGACTGGATGGCCCATGAGGTCTCTTCCAACTCTTTGATTCTATGATTCTATAAGTACACAACGAAAGTTTATTTCAAAAAAGTAAATTTATTTTCAGAAAGTACATACTTCACTCTATTTTTTGACATTGTTGCCAAGTTTGTTCAAACACTTATCATACCTCTGAACCAATTTTAAAATACCCTCTTCATAAAAACTTGCCGCCACCAAAAGCCACCAAATCGTCTGTAATCAAAGAAGGGCGACCGGAGCGGTCCTCATCATGGACGTTGTCACGGCCATCTTTGAATTGTCGTACCCATTTACACACTTTGCTTTCACTCATAACATCATCCCAGATCAGGAAATGAGACCATAAGATTAAATCCACCACACTGGACTGTGGGAAAAAACAATCCTCTTTATTGATGAAAAATGGTTACAAAAGAAAGGTAAATGCAAAGTCAAAATGCCATAGTAGAAACACAGCAGTCAGGAAAACTCTGAACTTGAGCAAAATTCCAAAAGACACAATACAGAAACCAGGAACCTGTTAGCATCACTAACTGTACTTGAAAACTAGAAACCTCTGGGAATGCAGGCCATGGAACACAGGAAATCTGCCAAGGTACTGCCTCAGTCTAAAACGTTGCTTGATCTGGCTAGACAGCCGGGAAGAGGCCCCTTATACTAAAGAAACTATTTCTTGAAACGCCTCCAGACTTTGAAGCCTCCCTCTCCCGTAATCTATTTGACCTTCGTAGAAACTGCGACTCACTCCTGTTTTTCCAAATCTGTTCTCTTTGGTGTCCTCATTAACAAACCCAGGTGTGAGTCCCTCTGGAGAGCTATCACTGCTTGATTCCAAAACATTCTCATCAGGAAGTTCAGTTTCACTTTCCCCGCCACTGGCCTCATAATCAACAGATTCAACCCCATCAGGGAAAGATACATGTTCAGAGGCCTGTTCAGTTGCATCAGGAAATACAATTAAAGAATCAGGTTCAGGTTCTGGTTCGCACGGAGGCTGACTTTCACTCATAACAGTATCACCGTACACTTCACAAATCTGTCGATGAATTTCTGCAGCAGGCAGGTTCCTTGCTGACAAAAACCGTATCACTGAGCGAACCTCACATGCGGAGGGTGAGTTGATAGTCTTAAACATTTTTAAAGCACAGAACAGAACCGTACAGGTTAGCTACAGAGCGGAAACTGAGCACAGTTGTTCCCGAGGCATGCTGGTACACGACGCATGCGCTCGTTGCAGTATGCGCGCGAACTACTAGTGTCTACAACAAAACGGACCTTACTTAAAAAATACCCCTGTACAAAGGTGAGGAGGTATAGAGGCAATGAGGAGGATAGAGTGGAAAATAATTATAAGTACAAGACTGTTTGGGACTCACTTTAATCTATATAAATAAAGATGTAATGTTCGTTTGTGGGATTAACAGAACTCAAAAACCACTGGACAGATTGACACCAAATTTGGCCAGCAAAACACATTCTAATCCGATCTATGTCTTTCAAACAAAAAACCCATAAAAAATGAAGGGGAAATAACTTAAAACTCCCCCAAAAGAAAAATGCCTTACAGAGCATGCGCAAAAGCCCCTCTCCCCATTGCACGAGAAGAATGAAGCACCAACCGTTGTGAGGGAAGAGAAGCCTCGCCATGGAGTCCCTTTCCATGCAGGAAGGCAGAGTCCTTTTTCTTTTGGGGAGGGGAGGGATTGAGGAAAGGAAAGAGAAGGAGAAGGCCTGGCCCAACGGAGGGGTGGGGGCTTGGCGAGGCAAGCCCTGGCAGCAGCTGGAGCCACCGCAGTGGCTCCATGAGGCCCACGTGGCTACCAGGCAACTCTTTCCCCAAGACCAGAGGATTGCAAGGCAAGCCTGACTGCAGGAGTGGCTGCACACCGAAGGAGAGAAGAAAGGAAGAAAAGGATTGGTGAAGAGAAGATTATGAATGGAAGGAAAGGTAGAAGGAAAGAAAGAGGAAGGAAGGGAAAGGAGGCAGGGATGGGAGAGGAAAGGAAGGGAAGAGGAAGGGAAGGAACAAAGAAAGAAAGGGGGAAACTGGTGAAGGGAAGAGAAGAATATAGAATCAGAGTCCTAGAGTTGGGAGACACCTGGTGGGCCATCCAGGCCAACCCCATTCTGTGAAGAAGCAGGAAAATCACATTCAAAGCACCCCAACAGATGGCCACCCAGCCTCTGTTTCAAAGAGGCTTTTTTGAGTGTTTTGGCCAGCATGAATATAACCAATGACAAATGCAAGATACTCCACTTAGGCAGAAAAAACGAAATGCAAAGATACAGAATGGGGGGATGCCTGGCTCAAGAGCAGTACGTGTGAAAAAGATCTTGGGAGTCCTCATGGACAACAAGTTAAACATGAGCCAACAATGTGATGTGGCGGCAAAAAAAGCCAATGGGATTTTGGCCTGCATCAATAGGAGCATAGTGTCTAGATCTAGGGAAGTCGTGCTACCCCTGCTATTCTGCTTTGGTTAGACCACACCTGGAATATTGTGTCCAATTCTGGGCACCACAATTCAAGAGAGATATTGACAAGCTGGAATGTGTCCAGAGGAGGGCGACTAAAATGATCAAGGGTCTGGAGAACAAGCCCTATGAGGAGCGGCTTAAGGAGCTGGGCATGTTTAGCCTGAAGAAGAGAAGGCTGAGAGAAGATATGATAACCATGTATAAATATGTGAGAGGAAGCCACAGGGAGGAGGGAGCAAGCTTGTTTTCTGCTTCCTTGGAGA